GGTTGCGGTGAGCCGAGATCGCGCCATTGCACTCCAGCCTGGGTAACATGAGTGTAACTACGTCTCAAAAAAAAAAAAAAAAAAAAAAAAAAAGGTGCCTTCACACATTGTCATACTCATTCTCTTTTTTCTTTTTTTCTTTTCTTTTTTTTTTGAGACTAAGCTTCTCTCTTTTTGCCTAGGCTGAAGTGCGATGGCAGGATCTCGGCCCACCACAACCTCCGCTTCTTGGGTTCAAGCAATTCTCCTGTCTCAGCCTCCCCAGTAGCTGGGATTAGGCATGCACCACCATGCTCAGCTGTTTTTGTATTTTTAGTAGAAATGGGGTTTATCCATGTTGGTCAGGCTGGTTTCGAACTCCTGACCTCAGGTGATCCACCCGCCTCAGCCTTCCACAGGAGTGTGCCACTGTGCCCGGCTCATACTCATTCTTTACAACAGCCCTGAGAGTTTCCATTCTACAAATGTGGAAACTCAGATTCAGGGAGATGAAATAAGTTACCCAAAGTTTTATATTGTAGTGGTAAGTCTTCATACTCCAAGCTCAGTGCAGTTTCTACTGCACCACATTTGGTCAAAATATCTGTGTGGTGTTCGTTTAGTTATTACCTAAATGGTCAAGTTATTATAATTTCTTCTGAGAGCATCATTGAAGAGCTTCTAGAAGACAAACTAACTGTGGATAACTGTTTTAGCTGGGCCTCAGAGGGAGTTGTCTTCATTTCTACTACTCTGTTGATATGGTTCTTTTTAAATGAACTGTATTGTGGTATAGCTTTCAAAATTAAAATGCACATGTTTTAAGTGTATCAACCAATGTATTCACCTTGTCACCAACACCACAATGAAGACTTAGGGGTATTTTTAATACTTCCTTTTTCCTCCCTCCAGTCAGTCCCCCACCCCCAGACACAGCTTTCTATCACTATAGGTTAAATGCTCATACTTTTTGAATATAATGATTAATTTTCAAAGTTCCTTAATATTTGAAAAAGTTTTCAGAATGGTACATAGAACTGGATCTAATTTTTTTTTTGTTCTTTTTTAAAAGTTATTTGGAGAGACTACATTAGTTAAATCAAGGCATATTGTTACAGAATTGAAAGAAAAAGCTGTTATATTTATCAGGAAAAATGCTACAACACTACTGCACAAAGTAAGTATTTGTTCTTAGTAAAAAAAAAAAATTTATTTTTTGCCTTTTACCTCAGTTAACTGACATATGATTCAATAGTTTATGATTCAGAACAGTAGTGTTTTACTATTCAAAAACTTAAACTGTATTATAGCTAATAGTGTTGTATTTTTTATCATGGTAATTGACATTCTATAGAGATTTTATGAAATAGTAGTCAATTTTTTCCACTGTTGTCTCTTGATTTTAGTTACTTCTATTTATATTTGTTTATTTTTTAGAGATGAGTATTTTTTCTGTCAGCCAGGCTGGAGTGCAGTAGTACAATCATAGTTTGCCACAACCTTGAACTTCTGGGCTCAGGCAATCCTCCTGCCTTAGCTTCCCAAGTCACTGTTATTACAGGCATGAATAACTGTGCCACACTCTATAGTTATTTATTTATTTTTATTTTTATTTATTTTTTTGAGACTGAGTGTCGCTCTGCCGCCAGGCTGGAGTGCAGTGGTGCAATCTTGGCTTATTGGAACCTCCGCCTCCTGGGTTCAAGTGATTCTCCCACCTCAGTCTCCCAAGTAGCCGGGATTACAGGCGCCCACCACCACGCCCAGCTAATTTTTTAAATTTTTAGTAGAGACGGGGTTTCACATGTTAGCCAGGATGGTCTTGATCTCCTCACCTCGTGATCCATCTGCCTTGGCCTCCCAAAGTGCTGGAATTACAGGCCTGAGCCGCGCCCAGCCATGTGGTTATTTATTTTATAGATTAAAGCATTCCAATGATCCTATTACTTGTTTCTATTTCACAAATACTAATTTTTCATTACCCTTTATTTTTTAAAAGATTCTAATAGACTTTCAGTGAAAAAATTGTTGCATTAGGCATTTAATTTTCATTTGTCAGATTACTTTTTTAAAAAAATGTTGGTTTTTTTGGAGACAAGGTCTGACTTTTTCACCCAGGCTGTAAGTGCAGAGGTGCCATCATAGCTTACTGCAGCTTCAAACTTATGGGCTCAAGCAACCCTCCCGCCTCAGCCTCTGAATATCTGGCACTGCTGGTGCGCCACCATGCCTGGGTAACTTTTAAATATTTTGGGAGAGACAGGTCTCACTATGTTGCCCAGGCTGGTCTTAGACTCTTAGCCTCAAGCAATCCTTCCACCTTGGCCTCCTGAAATGCTGAAAGTGCAGGCATGATACTATGCCCGGCCTCCAAAATTTTTAATTTGGAGGTAATTTCAAAGTTTCAGGAAAATTTTAGCAATAGTACAAAGATCTCTGGTATACCCTTTATTGCTTTGTGATTCACTGGCATGCTCTCTCTTTCTCTATTTTTCTATTTATATATAAAATCATTTTATATTTTGTATATACTTTTTCTGACTATTTAGAAATAAGTTACATACATTATGGCTCTTTACCCCTAGACAACATTTCAGTGTCCTATAGAATTTGTAGTTTCTTTCCTTATTCTTTGGATAGTGATAAAGGACATTAAACTTAAGCAAACACATTAGAACTATGTTACTGTAACTTTTCATGAAACACTTGTTCTTCTGTAGTGTTTGTAATTCAATTTAATGATAAGCCTTGAAACATTTAATTTAAAAAGTTTTATAAATTATAAATTAAAATTTTTCCTCTTTATTTGTGTTTCTGCCCTTTGTGAACAAAGTTAATTCTATTTAGATTATGAAGAGTTTGCTTCTTTTGCTGCTTTCTTCCTGTAGGTATTTAATTGTCGCTTGGTAGATCTTGACCTGGCATTGGGTTACTGCACTCTCTTACCTCAAAAAGATGTGTTTGAAAATCTCTGGAAGCTCATAGATAAAGCATGGCAGAATTACGACAAAATCTTGGTATGCCCTAAGGAAGCACACCTTCAATTCTTGAAGTATTCAAGATTTGGGGGGAGAAATGAAGTTGGCTTTGCCACCTGGTCTTAAAGATTTAGTAGAAGAAATTTTGAGCTAACTCGTGATTTCTACCAACTTCTCCTTGATTGGTGACATACTGTTGCCTGTATATGCAAGTTATGAGCATTGTTCAACCCAAAGAATTACAGTTTATTTATTTATTTATTTTCCGAGACAGAGTCTTGCATTGTCACCCGGGGTGGAGTGCAGTGGCATGATCTCAGCTCACTGCAACCTCTGCCTCCCGGGTTCAAGGGATTCTCCTGCCTCAGCCTCCCGAGTAGCTGGGATTACAGACTCCTGCCACCATGCCTGGCTATTTTTTTGTATTTTTAGTAGAGACGGGCTTTCACTATGTTGGCCGGGCTGGTCTCAAACTCCTGACCTCGTACTTTGCCCTCCTCGGCCTCCCAAAGTGCTAGGATTACAGGCTTCAGCAGTTTTTTTATTTCTTAAAATCTCTTTACAGCCTTAGAACGTCAAATTTTATTCTGGTATATTTGAAACCCCAGACCTACCTATGAATCCGTTCTTTTTTTTGAGACAAAATCTCACACTGTCACCCAGGCTATAGTGCAGTGACATAGTCTTCCCTCAGTGCAATCTCTGCCTCCTAGGTTCAAGCAATTCTCCTGCCTTAGCCTCCCTAGTAGCTGGGACTACAGGCGTGCATCACCATGCCTAGCAAATTTTTTTTTTTTTTTTTTTTTTTGAGATGGAGTTTCGCTCTTGTTACCCAGGCTGGAGTGCAATGGTGCGATCTCGGCTCACCGCAACCTCCGCCTCCTGGGTTCAGGCAATTCTCCTGCCTCAGCCTCCTGAGTAGCTGGGATTACAGGCACACGCCACCATGCCCAGCTAATTTTTTGTATTTTTTAGTAGAGACGGGGTTTCACCATGTTGACCAGGATGGTCTCGATCTCTTGACCTCGTGATCCACCCGCCTCGGACTCCCAAAGTGCTGGAATTACAGGCTTGAGCCACCGCGCCCGACCTGCCTAGCAAATTTTTTTGTATTTTAGTAGAGACGGGGTTTCACTATGTTGGTCAGGACGTTCTTGATCTCCTGACCTCGTGATCTGCCCACCTCGGCCTCCCAAAGTACTGGGATTACAGGTGTAAGCCACCACTCCTGGCCCATCACTTCATTTTTGTAGGCTGAGTTTAACAGATAGAGAACTTCTTCTGGATGTTGTGTTAAAATTTGCCTTTTATGGGGAGCTTGCTTGCAAGATAACTAAAATTTGGCCTTTCATTATAAAATAAAGCCAGGCTAAATGTATGGCATTATACAATAAGCTGGATTACCTAAACATTACATAAGAAGTAATGACTGTGTACAAAATAATATGTAACATTCTACACAGTTATCACAAAGGAAGTTATGATTTTTATTGTTGGGTTTCATCTAAAAGGTATTATAATGTATTTATGATTTAACTTTAATTCTATTTTAATTTTTTAGGCAATATCTCTGGTGGGCTCTGAGCTGGCAAGTCTCCATCAGGACATAGAAATGGGGCTTAAGTTCCATGAACTCAGTACTGATGCCCGGTGGGGCATTCGTCTTGCTAACCTTGGTGTGAGTATTCTTTGTACTGCTATCATTGATTCTGATGATTACCTGGTTGGAAAATTTAAAACAAAACAAAGATCTTCTTGTCCTTTACTTTTGGGAAGACAGTGTCTGTGTACCGCCTTATACATTTTATTAAGTATACACTTTGGTGCTTCCAGATAAATAAGAAACTTTTTGCCTGATTTCCTTTTGTCTGTATTTTTAAGGAAATTAAAAGTGGCCTGACATTTTCAGCTGCTTAACTTTCTCATTTATAGGTATATATCTAGTATCAATTGACATTTATGCTATTTCAGGCATAGCCTTTAGCCTCATACTTTTGTTTACTGCCGTTAAAGATAATATTAAAATGTATATACAGGTATACCATGCTTCAAGAACACCTAGTAGGGGAAAATAAATCGCCTTTATTTTTGACAGTGCAAAAGAACAGACAAGTAAAACCAAGTTTTCTTTTTTTTGAAACAGGATCTCATTCTGTCACCCAGACTGGAGTGCAGTGGCATGATCACAGCTCACTGCAGCCTCAACCTCTAGGGCCTAAGCTATCCTCCCACCTCAGCCTCCTGATTGGCTGGGACTACAGGCATGCACCACCATACCCAGCTAATTGTTTTGTATTTTTTGTAGAGACAGGGTTTCACCATGTTGGCGAGGTTGGTCTCGAGCTCCTGACCTCAAGTGATCCACCCATTTCGGCCCCCCAAATTGTTGGGATTACAGGCATGAGCCAAAACCCTGTTTTCTTTACCAAAAATATAAAACATTTTATTTGCGAACAGTTGACTTATCAGGAAGATAACCAGTACAGAAATGCTATATGTTTTGAAGCTTAATTCTACTGCGGTAATGGAACTGGTGTTCTGTTTGCATTAAGAATCAAACTTTTCGTGAGGCGCGGTGGCTCATGCCTGTAATCCCAGCACTGTGGGAGGCCGAGGCGGGCAGATCACGAGGTCAAGAGATCGACACCATCCTGGACAACATGATGAAACCCCGTCTCTACTAAAAATACAAAAATTAGCTGGGCGTGGTGGTACACACCTGTAATCCCAGCTACTTGGAGGCTGAGGCGAGAGAATTGCTTGAACCTGGGAGGTGGAGGTTGTAGTGAGCTGATGTCATGCCACTGCACTCCAGCCTGGCACCTGGCGACAGAGCAAGACTGCGTCTAAAAAAAAAAAAAAAAAGGAATCAAACTTTTCCGATGAGGAAATGGTTAGAATGGCTAAGAGGAGTTTTGGACCCATGTACACCTCAAATAAATCTCGGAGTGATGGCTGGGTTGGGTAGTGTGAAGTTGAAGGAGCTATAGACAAATGTTTCTTTATAAAAAAAAGATACTAAGAAGGCAAGTCATTATGTTGCCCTTATTCTGATACATTTCCATGTAGAGGGTTTTTTGTTATTTTTTTTAATTTGTTTTGTTCTTTTTATTTCTAGATTTCTTTTCAACCAGTTTTCAGGCAACATTTTCTCGCCAAGAAAGACCTCGTTAAAGCTCTTGTGGAAAATATAGATATGGACACAAGCCTCATTCTGGAATATTGCAGGTAATTCTTTAAACATTAACAGTATTTTTGCTGTTAAACTGGTAATCCTTATTTCAAGAACACGGTATTAACGATGATTATTTTATGAGGTCCATGGACCTTGATATTTTCTTTTGCTCATTCCCAAACTGAATAAATATGAAGTCAGATTGGAGTCTCTTATGATATCACCATTTAAATTCACCATTTAGTGTTTCCCAAACTTGCCTCATGATAAGCATCACCTAGGGCACTTGATTACAAATGCAGATTTCTGGGGCTCTCTGGCAGTTCTGACTCATTGGGTCTGGACTGAGCCTAGGAATCATTGGTCTTTAATAGGAGCTCAGGTGATTCCTATGATCAGAAAAGTTGGAGAATATTCTTCTGAGTAATTAAACTTCTAAATCAGATTAGGGAGCAAAGGAATCAAACTAAAAATTAAAAGTATGATTTAGGGAGAATTTCTAATATCCTATTAAAAATATTTATAAAATTATTTTTATTTTATTTCTTTTTTCTTTTCTTTTTTTTTTTTAAAGGGGGTGGGACAGGAATGGGCTTGTGGACCCGGCACGCCCCACCGACATGGGGAGATGCCCAGCTCCCTGGCCCCTGGCACACCGACCCTCCCTTTTATTTGTTTATTTTGAGACAGAGTCTCGCTCTGTCACCCAGGCTGGAGTGCAGTGGCGCAATATCAGCTCACTGCAACTTCCACCTTCAAATAATTCTCTGGCCTCAGCCTCCCAAGTAGCTAGGATTACAGGCATGCGCCATCACACCTGGCTAATTTTTGTATTTTTAGTAGAGACAGGGTTTCACCATGTTGGCCAGGCTGGTGTCGAACTCCTGACCTCAAGTGATCTGCCCGTCTCAGCCTCCCAAAGTGCTGGGATTGTAGGCGTGAGCCACTGCGCCCAGCCAAGAATTTTTAGAACTAAGATTAAATGTGTTATTTACAGATTCAGCTTACTTTGATAAGTAGGGATAAATGATTTATAATTTGTATCTCAGATGTTTCTTTTCTTTTTTTTTTTTTTTAAGACGGGGTGTCACCATGTTGGTCAGGCTGGTCTTGAACTCCCAACCTCAGGTGACCCGCACGCCTTGGCCTGCAAAGTGCTTGGATTACAGGCGTGAGCCACCACGCCCAGCCCGATGTTTCTATCTAGTAAATACAAGGACTTGTTTTCTGGTTTCAGAATGCTTTCAGACATGTCACCTCATTTAATTTTTACAGTTATTATTACATATGTTGCTACTTGATATATGAGAAAACAAACCCATATTACATGACCTGCTCAAGGTCAGATTATAAATGACTGCTTCTAAAATATTATGGGTGCTGTAACCCCCATCTGATTTGTAACAGATTAATGGAATCTGAGTTACTGAGAATGAAACTGCTTGGTACATTTCCTGAACCAGGCAAGCATCTATTTCTTTGTCTCTGTGGATAGTGAGGAGTAGTGTAAAGACCATGGCTGTCACTATCCTGTACCTGCAAGTCAAGGACTATAGGCTGCCCGTAGCTCTAAGGAGCACTGATTTAAAGAGTAGTCTGAAGTAACAAAACTATGTCATTCTTCAGTTTGGCCTGTTATAAATCCAGGACAGAGCACACACGCTTTTATATTTTTTATTTAACTTGAACTTCTGGTAGATTCTTATGTGATATCCTATGGTACAGAACACTTTTTTGAAATTTAAATAGCTATAAAGTCAAGTTCATTTCATAATTATTCTATATACGTGGCATTGATGATTTGTATTCATATGATAGTGACACTTTTGCCTCAGGCAGTCTACCTGAATAAATTTAGATAACCTTTAGAATATCAGAGAGTGACTTCAAAATGTTGGTACTTAAGCCTCTTATTGATATTTTAGTTACTCTGTATAGCAAATTAAACTATCACTGTCTTATTAGTAGGGTCTAAAAAGGCATTTCAGTTGTTACTTTGTCTATAGTAACCAGATTCTTTTTTTTTTTTTGAGATGGAATCTTACTCTGTTGCCCAGGCTGGAGTGCAGTCATGCAAGCTCGGCTCACTGCAACCTCTAACTCCTGGGTTCAAGCGATTCTCCTGCCTCAGCCTCTTGAGTAGCTGGGATTACAGGCACGCACCACCCTGCCTGGCTAATTTTTGTATTTTTAGTAGAGACAAGGTTTCCCGATGTTGGACAGGCCTGTCTCGAACTCCTGACCTCAGGTGATCTGCCTACCTCAGCCTCCCAAAGTACTAGGATTATAGGTGTGAGCCACTGTGCCCGGCCTAGATAAGCTATTTAACCAGCCCCTTATTGGTGGATTGTTGAGTTGTTTTCAGTTTATTTTATTTGTTTTAATTTTTGTGGATACACATTAGGTTTACATATTTATGGAGTTCCTGAGATATTTTGATATAGGCATCCAGCGCATAATCATTACATCAGGGTAAATAGGGTATCCATCACCTCAAGCATTTATTATTTCTGTTACAATCCAATTATACTCTTTTGGTTACTTTAAAATATATAATAAATTATTGTTGACTGTAGTCACCCTGTTGTACTATCAAATACTAGGTCTTATTGATTCTATCTAACTATATTTTTGTACCCATTAACTATCCCATTTCCCCTCTTCCCTCACTTTCCTTCCCAGTCTCTGGTTACCATCATTCTACTTTCTGTCTCCGTGAATTCAGTTGTTTTTTATCTCCCAAAAATAAGTAAGAGCTAAAGTCCTGCTCATAGCTTGGGAAAAAGAAGAAAAAAAGTGAGAGCTTTTGAAATTTGTCTTTGTGTGCCTGCTTTACATCACTTAACAGAATGACCTCTGGTTCCATCCATGCTGTTGCAAATGACAGAATCTCATTCTTTTTTCTGAATGAATAGTACTCCACTGTGTTTATGTACTACTCTTTCTTTATTCATTTGTCTGTTGATGGACACTTAAGTTGATTCCAAGCCTTAGCTATTGTGAATAGTTGCTGCAATAAACATGAGAGTACACATCTCTTTGATATATTGAGTTCCTTTATTTTGGGTATATACCTAGCAGTGGGATTGCTGGATCATATGGTAGTTCTATTTTTAGTTTTTTGAGGAACCTCTAAACTGTTCTCCATAGTAGTTGTACTAATTTACATTTCTACGAACAGTGTACAAGGGTTCTCTTCTTCTCTGCATTCTCACCAGAATTTGTTATTGCTTGTCTTCAATAAAAGCCTTTTTTTTTGAGATGGAGTTTCACTCTTGTCACCCGGGCTGGAGTGCAATGGCACCATCTCAGCTCACTGCAATCTCCGCCTCCTCGGTTCAAGCAGTTCTCCTGCCTCAGCCTCCTGAGTAGCTGGGACTACAGGCACACGCCACCACGCACAGCTAATTTTTTTGTATTTTTTAGTAGAGATGGGGTTTCACCATGTTGGCCAGGATGGTCTTGATCTCTTGACCTCGTGATCTGCCCGCCTCGGACTCCCAGAGTGCTGGGATTACAGGTGTGAGCCACTGTGCCTGGCCTGGTTTGTTAATTCTTAAAATATGTATGTATGTATGTATGTATGTTTTTGAGACAGAGTTTTGCTCTTATTGTCTAGGTTGGAGTGCAATGGTGCGATCTTGGTTCATCGCAACCTCTGCCTCCCGGGTTCAAGCAATTCTTCAGCCTCAGCCTCCAAAGTAGCTGGGATTATAGGCATGAGCCACCACACCTGGCTAATTTTTATATTTTTAGTAGAGGCGGGGTTTCACCATGTTAGCTAGGCTGGTCTTGAACTCCTGACCTCGTGATCCACATGCCTTGGCTTCCCAAAGTGCTGGGATTACAGGCGTGTGCCTCCATGCCTGGCCAAAATTTTTTTATTTTTGTTATTTATTTTTTTTGTTTGTTTTTGAGACAGAGTCGCGTTCTGTCACCTAGGCTAGTGTGCAGTATCATGATCTTGGCTCACTGCAACGTCTGCCTCCCAGGTTCAAGTAATTCTTGTGTCTCAGCTCCCAAGTAGCTGGGATTATAGGTGCATGCTACCACTCCTGGCTTACGTATTTATTTATTTAAAGACAGAGTCTTGCTCTGTCATTCAGGCTGGAGTGCAATGGTGCAATCTCAACTCAATGCAACCTCCGCCTCCTGGATTCAAGTGATTCTCCTGTCTCAGCCACCTGAGTAGCTAGGATTACAGGTGCACACTGCCACACCTGGCTAATTTTTTGTCTGTTGTTATAGATGGGCTTTCACTGTGTTGCTCAGGCTGGTCTCGAACTCCTTAGCTCAGGCAATTCACCCATCTCAGCCTCCCAAAGTGCTAGGATTACAGGCGTGAGCCACTGTGCCTGGCCTAATTTTTGTTCTTTTAGTAGAGATGGAGTTTCACCATGTTGGCCAGGCTGGTCTCAAATTCCTGATTGGCGTGTATTGAATGCTTCTTTTAGCACGTTTCAGTTGGACTGTGATGCGGCTCTTCAGCTCTTCATCGAAACGCTGCTCCACAACACGAATGCCAGCCAAGGCCAGGGAGATGCAAGCATGGAATCTGCAAAGCAACGGCATCCCAAACTCCTGGCCAAAGCCCTCGAGATGGTTCCTTTACTGACAAGCACTAAAGATTTGGTCATCAGTCTTAGTGGAATACTACATAAGGTAGACACATGGTGAAATGAATCGGGTCATCTCAGTCATTTCTCCCACCCTTAGCTAATTATATACATTTAGTAATAAATTGGATATATAAGTCTATATTTTTATCAACTTTTCATTCGAAATATTCTCTAGATTTCTGTATTTTTAATACAGTTAAATACAATTTTCCTATTTTTCAAAATAGAAATAGCTTTTCTTCCCCGTATTTTTGAAAACCTTACACATTCTTGGCCGGGCATGGTGGCTCACGCCTGTAATCCCAGCACTTTGGGAGGCCAAGGCAGGCAGATTGCCTGAGCTCAGGAGTTTGTGACTAGCCTGAACAACATGATGAAATCCCGTCTCTACTAAAAAATATATAAAAAATTAGCCAGGCCTGGCAGCTTGATTATGTAGTCCCAGCTACTCAGGAGGCTGAGGCAAGAGAATTACTTAAACCTAGGAGGCAGAGGTTACAGTGAGCCGAGATCACACCGCTGTACTCCATCCTAGGCGACAGATTGAGACTCTGTCTCAAAAAAAAAAAGAAAACCTTACACATTCTTTGAAGAGATTGGAACTAGAGAGAAATAAATAAAACAAAACAGGCAATTTCCCTATAACCCCACTCCCTAGAGATAAAAATGTTAGTAGTATGGTGTAGTAACTATCCTATACTAATTATACTATTCTGTGACCCTCTTTTTTCACCTAACATGTTGTCATTACATGTCAGTATTTATACATCTATCTCAAAAGAAATAATTTCTTTTTCATAGTCCTGTAAGAAATGTCTTTTTTTTTTTTTTTTTTTTT